TACCGTAGGTGGACGAATTATTCAAACCCTTGCAGAATTCACCCCCTTACCCCCATAGTTCAATGTTGGCCTGTTGGTGAAGGAGGTTGGCTTGAGTGGACGAATCAAATCAAACCCCTGACAACAAAACATCTTTTTACTGAGACAACGTTGAAACCGGAGGTGCGGGGGTGGTGATGGACCATGGTGGTTTAGGGTTTGATAAATTTGTCCATCTACTGTAGTAAGGCACTTGTTCTAGAAACGCGTCTACTCTACTAATCACCAGGCGCAAGGTGTGAGAAACGCCTGCTTCCGAATCCTTGCCGGAGAAACCACTGAACAAGGGACACGAAGATGTGACACTTACGTGAGGATGTCATGGGGCACAAAGCAAGTGGTCGACACGGGATTCCGCGTCTCCTTTTGGCACCAGACTTTTTTGCGCTCGGCAAAACCGCGAACCTATGTCCACGCATGTCCAACAACATGCAGGCTGCAAACCCCTCACCATCTTGCCTCAAGGCACTGTACAGGGCAAAGGGCGGGGTAAGTTGTCAGGAACCACAGAAAATGCCAAAGACTTCCCAAATCAACCAAAACATCCTCACCGAAAACGGGATTAAGAACCTGTTCAAGCGACACGGGAGCTGCAGAAAGTGGTTGCACAGCGCTGGCTGCATGGCTGACAAATCTTCATCACTGGTCTCTTCTTTTGGTCTTGTTTCCAAGTTTGGGGAATTCACGTCCTTGCTGAATACAACCACCCAATGAGTGACCTCAAAATCAGGTCTCTTGGCAATCAGCTGGATAGATATACAAACCTGTGAGCTTAATTCACATGGAAATCTCTTCCTTTCTATGGCTCCCAATTGCCGCCTAGTTTTTGCACCACTTCGCCACGGTCACCACCGGCCGTCGCAGTGCGGCTGCGCGTTTCGGCGCTCTTTCCGTGGGTCCGTGGGTCAAGAAAACATGGGCTCCTTCAAATTGGAGGACACATTGCTCCCATGGTTGGAGAAAGTTTGAAGACACACTGCACTTGAAGGAAGATGTGAAACATAACACCACATTCAAATATGATGCATGATGATACCTTAAATAAAAATAAAATGGAGCATCAAGTTATGTAAGTAACTACCTGTAGAGTGATCCGAAAGGTGGCTTTCGGCTTTCTTCCATCAATCGAGAGTACAGCCTTTCTGAGATCTGAGGATCTGAGTTGCCAGATACCCAGCCTGGTTGCCATTCATTTCTTGGCAACCACATATCGTTCCAGCAGCAGCAGCTTTTCCTGAGTGCTGGACGATCCGTCTCATCAGTGGCTTTCTTGAAAAGCGACCCTTCGGGTGATGCACTCGACTCTACAACTGAGTGGGCCGAAACATCCACGAGTCTTTCCACGAGTCTTTTCCCGAAAAGCTAAGCACTTGGCGAAGCCGATGGAACTCTCTCCTTCCTCCAGTCCCCGAACTCTCCAAGTCTCCGATGGAACTTGTCGCTCTGGCGGAAACCACTTCCTGAGCTGACTGTCAACTGCCCGCAAGAACGGTGTGTACCCGGCCAAGTACGGTCCACCGTTTGGAGAATGTCCGTGCGGGTGGTAGGATGATGACTGAGACCTGAGCCGTTCCGATCAAACGCATCTTTCAGAATCTTAGAAAGCAAAGAACCTTCACGCCAACCAAGACGAAAAGATCCTTGCCATTCACCACCCCAGAAGGAATGAGAATCTGAAACAGTTAGTCATTGAGAATCTGCCACATGACCAATACCGAACCGGGTTGAGACTCAAATATTGTACCGTGGATGATAAAAACCATGTGCGGTTTGGGAGTCACACCTCGATTAAGTCTAACTACTGCCCAAAACATGTGCTATCACCCTATCAAATCCCTCCATTGGCATCGATCTTGGAGTCTTTGCAGTAAAGCGCATGGCTATGTGCCCTCTGGCACCGACCATTTGACCCAGCTTCTTGCTGATGTCTTCCGTGGAGATGTCGGACACCAGCCTGGCTTCTCAGGAGTCAGACAATTCTCGCACAATGCCATAAAGAACTGCAACCTGAGTTTAGACTTAGACCAAGCTGCCGGAAGTTCGAGCAGGAACAGAAGACCTGGGGGATCTCGCTTTGTGCATAGAAGTTGATCCAGGGCTCACCTGACCAGGGGCAACATGACAGCCACTTCCCAGCCCAAGACCCACTGCAAGTCGTTGTAAGTGATGTTTTTACAGGGTCCGAAAGACCCGTCCTGGACCACATCGCCCCTTCAGCAAGCATCAAGATTGAAGAGTCGGGTGTGGTTAGTTGGAGTTATAAAAGGTGTTCAATTATACAAGCATAGACTTATGTTGACTTACAGCCAAGTTCTAAGAATCATTGAAAAAGAAAAAGTGCAGAAAAAAAAAAAGCAAAAAAATAGCAAAACCAAAAAGCAGAAAGAAAAACTGTCTGGATAAGAAGTGCAGAAACAAAGCAGAAAAAAAAGCAAACAAAAGTGCAAAAAAAAGCAAACAAAAAAGGAAAAAAAAGCAAACAAAAAAGGGAAAAAAAATAGCAAACAAAAAAAAACAAACAAAAAAGCAATTTTTCACCCACTTTTCCCCACTTTTTTTGTGGCTCTGGAATTTGTTCTCCCACTTTTTCCCCACTTTTTTTGTGGCTCTGGAAATGTCAAAACTTTGCACTTTCCTCGAAAAATAGCAAAAAAAGTGCAAAAAAGTGAAAAAAAAAAGTGCCAAAAAAATTGCAAAAAAAAGCGTGCCCAATTTGCCTCAAAAAAAAATTGCTCTTTTGCTTTTTTGTTTGCTTTGTTGTTGCTTTTTTTTGCTCTTTTTTTGCTTTTCTTGAACGTTGCTATTTTGTGTTTGCTTTTCATGCACGCACTTTTTCTGCACTTTTTTTGTACTTTTTTGTTTTCCATACTCCCATAGAAGTTGGCTAACTGGCCAACATAAGCATAGACCCCAAACAGGTTATATAGTCGGTAAGAATTGTTGTTCCCTCCCTCGCACAGCAGCGTAAAGAGCACGACAGCAGGAGGATATGAGGACAACAGAGGACAAAATAAAGATGAAGGACAAGAGGAGGACACAGGGCTGGCCAGCACGGCCAGAGGACACGACAAGAGGAGGACACGGTTGGCCATCGTGGCCAGAGAACAGCAGTTCAAGAAGAGGACAAGACCCGGACACAAAGCCTGGACACAGAGTTCAGGGGCACGGCCAGCCAGTGTGGCCAGCCCTTTTTTGCTAAGAGAGAACCCCAACAGTAAACTGTTTGGGGAAAAGTAAGGAAACATGCAACACCAAGAAAAATGCTTTTTCTCTCTGCAGTGCTTGCTCAAACCCTTAGAATCCCATAAACAAATATTTGCCCTGTCTTTCCATGCCTCGATAATCTAAATCAACTATGGAAAACAATCATGCATCGAAAACATTGAAGCCATGTATTGGGGAAATCTAAAACATAGGGTGAAAGAGCGGAAGCGCATAGACATGTCTGCAGGGTTGATCCACCCGCAAATCTCTGGACAGATTGATCAAAGCTGCAGTAAAAGATCCAGTGTGATCAAGCTCAGCACACAATGATTTAGGCAGTGTGGAATCCGCAGAAATGGTTGGAAGCTGTTTTTCATGTCTTTGCTGTGGCAAGTTTCAGGGTGAGTCATCATCAGCAACTGTAGGCTCCCAACGTGTAGTAGTTTCTACTAGGCTGTTCGCTCCAACCCCTCGCCTAATTTGGCTGCATAGGAGATGATCTGCTGTAACTTCTGCGGGTTGGCATAACCAGCTCCCACGACTTTCTCAGGTGTTTGAACCTGCTCGTCCACGTAAGACATGAAGAAGGTGCTCCCTTCTCCGGATATGCTATCCTTGGATGATCAGGTGGGAACACCTCATGCCCAAGGTCGCTCGCCCTCGTCCGTAATGAAAGTTTTTACTAAAACATATATATTTATAACATAAACGAGAGCCCACCACAACGAGGGCCCACCACGGCAAAGCTTCCTCGCACATGGCAATGTGGGAACGCATGGCTGGTCCGCAGTTATGTTGCATGTTGCCATGCTTTTGCATGCGTGGCCTCGCTCAGTCGCAGCATTTACTGGGATGGACAAGCCGGTGCCGAAAGTGTTGGTAGGGTCGCTGATCATGAATCATGGCCCCAAGAGTCATGGTATTTACAAGAGTGGCCCCACCTGTGGCCCAGACAGTCATGGTGTTTACAGGAGTGGCTCCGCGTGTGGTGGCCCCGCTTTGCGTGCCATTTACAGGTGTTGGATTTAATGAATCCTTATTCTGCAACTGGTGGGACCTAACAGCGGGAGCGAAGGAGGAGCAGAGTACACGAGAACAAGGCCAAGTGAAATGCCTATGCCTATGCCGCTGCCACAAACCTCTGGAAGAGAGTCCAAAAGGTAGCCCCAATCTACTCCGCAAGCTTCAAGTGGCTCTGCTGCTATCTGCTCTAGTAGCATGTGCCTACAGCGTAGCCTGACTCCCCCCGTTCACGTGGCTGTGACGCTCACAGCCTGTACCTAACATCAGCAACAAATTCAGTCACGAAGGCAATGTCCGGAATCTACCTTGACTGCCCCACAGCTATCTCCGCCTCGTGGGGCTGCAAAAACCCAGAAGATGCCAAAGAAACATATGATTTGGGGTGGTGAGTGGGACACCTTTGTCCTCAAACCAAACATATCAATCACCCCTCCAGGATCCTCAAGAACGGGACACACCTTGATCCACACCCCTTATAACTCAAGCACTCCAAGCATAGCTGGCCCCGAACGGACT